TGGGGCCCTAGGCGCCCACCGCAGCCTCTCCGCCTACCGCGGGTCGCTGTGCGGGTCGGCAAGATTAAAGGTTATGTGCGGAGGGGGAAAAGAAAGCAACGAAACCCTCAGGCCTGTTGTTTCTTTCTGAAAATAAAAGAGGGCAGTTCCGGGGAAACCTGAGCCACGCAGTACCCAGAACTACCGCAGGCACCACAGAGGCAGTGGTTAGTGCTTTCCTGCACCCTGAGCTGCAGCTCACACCAGTCCCAGGGCAGCTTAAGGCACGTTTTTTCCTTTACACTTTGAATGAAAAACGTTGATACCCTGCATTCAGAGGTCTCGACCCACTTGCTCATTCAAAATCCTGCTTCGAGAACGGGTTTTGTTGACTGATTTCCTTCACCATCTCTTCCTTTAATCCCTTCGTTGCCATCCTGTTTTCTACCACATGAAGTAAGTGTGGTATCTTTCATAATGAAAACAGGATCTGCTGCCAGGGCCTCCCCTCCGCTTCGTCTGCCATGCCTCGGGCTACCAGAAACTTTCTGCTAGCGGTGCAGCCGCAGGGCTGAGGCGGCTGCTCTCCAAGGAGCACCTCACTGCTTTCTCCGAGCTGCTGCCTGTGTGCACCTGGAGCACCTACTCAGGTGCCTGGGGTTGCCTTTGCGCCACGGTCCCTGTTCTCCAGATCATCTATCCAACTCTTCTATTTAATGATGCAAAAAAGTTAGTCAGCTGGCATGCTGAGACCTCTGCCAAGCATATCCATTATCAGCCTCCTGCTTTTGGTCCTCCTTGCCTGGTCTCGTTTTTATCCGTTTGTTTTTTACATGCTAACTAGATGGGAGGTTACAGATTTTTATTTTCTGTGTGTGCAGTGGTTAAATCAGAACTGAGTTTTAGTCTCTAGAACTACAGCAGTACAAATACCATACTTGCAGAACAGCTTTCACATACCACTCCATCCTTTATCTAAATCCTACTTGTGAGGAAGGGCTCACCACCTCTCCAAGCGATCTCGCTGCCCGTTCAGGCATTGTCCCATCTGCCAAGACCGGCAGCTGAGAGCCCTATTAATTATGGCTGTCTTAGTAATGTGAAAAAGGAAGTAGACTGAAAAGTATGTACCGATTCACACGGGCTATTGAACAACCAGTGGAAAGTTTTTAGCCACCGTTAGCTAGACTTTAAGGAGAGACTTAGGTGGGAAGAGCTCTCTCTTTCATCCACTCCACTGAGACACCCTAAATGTTACCATCAAAGAGAAAAAGCAAAGACACATTTCAACTTCTTAGATGAAACAGCTGGTGGTTGTCCAGATCTTTATTACAACAAAATTATTCTTCAGATTAAAAAATGATGTATCCAACAACACTTTTTTGTTTTTAATCCAAAAGCCCTTCATTAAAAATGGTTTAAAATATTCTACATAGTCGTTTCAATTTCTCAGGTTGCTCTTTGTTGACTAAAAATGCAAAACCAGAAAACCCCTTCCACTCTTACAGTTTTTTCCCCTCAGAAAACAAACTGTTTTAATACCCTAATTTGTTTTCTTTGTACACTGGGATAACCCAGCCAGTGGTCCTGAAACTGGTATGTTGCTCCAGCAACTGGAGTTTGACTAATATGTCTGACAGTTATTTCCCTGTACCAGAGCTTGGCAGTGCTGCTAAGGCCTCGTCAGCGCATGCATGTGTATGTTTACTTAGCGTTACTTTTCTTTGGAACATTTTCTTCTTCTCTGATCCAAACTGACTGTGGAGAAGATTATGAGCTGTTGCTAGCATTCGCTCTTCCCTTCCATTAATGTGCAACTTCCTAAGACATGAGGCCCCTTTATAAGCAAGGGCGCCCACTTGGGATGCAGACGCCTCACGGGATCCCACACTGCAGCTTACACTGCTCTGTTTCAGGCTAGTCTTAGCAGTTGCTTCTCTGCAGTCAGGCCTCTGAAGGCTTAGGGAGGACTCTGCTAAGAACTGTGCCCGACTGACAGGTGCATGCCCAAAAGACATGCTTAGGCCACTGGTCACTGACCCCGCTGATGCAGACAATCTGTGGCACAAGAAGGAGCAGTGATCCCAAAGCATATGGGCAAACGGCTCAACAGCTAAAGGGGCCTAGACAGCCAGGTCAGGAAGCAGCACAATGCCTAGCTCTTTTCCACTAGGAAACATAATGTTTTAATGCAAGGCTTTGACGTTATTGAGCAAGCTACAAGCAGGAGGAACTGAATTTCTCTGGGTGCCAGAGAACATGCTGCTCTCCACCAGGCCCCTCTTGACACAGGGACCACAAAACATTTTAAAAATTCTATTCACTATGGGCTGAGCAGCCGTTAGTTGGTATAAATCAGTTAATCAGCACAAGCAACCTGTGACCGAACTCAAAATGAATAATGTGAGGAGTAGCTGCCATTGTGTGACTGAAGACATTTCCTAAACCAGTCTGAAGGAGATAAGAAAAGGAATCTAACAGCTGGGGGAAAGAAAAGCAAATGCTGAAGCAAGCAGTGGAGCTACCAGCCTCAAAAAAAGAACTAGAAAAGATTATAGAAAGGGATCAGAACAAAGACGCTGTGAACATCTGGAACAAAGAAGAACTGAATCTATCCCTGCAAATACTTTCCCTAGGTTCCCAAGGGTCCTAAGACATCTGGCCAGTGGACTGGCGAGAGCCTGTTAGCAGAGGCTCAGTTTTGCATAGCTGTGCGTGCATCCAGATAAGCTCATCTGTCAGAGGACGGACTGTCTTTATGTCAGTTGCCATTGTCTGCTACTCAGATTTAGCACTGTGGTAGCATCATCACCACCACTGGATCCCCTATGAGGTAGGTAATTTATGTGTGCAAGGAGAACTTGTCCTTTTAACTGTCCATTACAGCTTTGCTTTAGAAACCTGACATAAACTTCCGAAAAGAAAACTAAGTCTTAAGCTATCTAAAAAGGTTACCCCAAAACCTAGTCACTGCTTCTGTCAGGGAACGCATAACGTCCCAAATGCCATCACACACGTAAGAAAACACTGCCAATCTGCCAAAAATGGGCACGTATCTCCCAGCTGAGCAGGGCTCACAGTCTTTGCGCCTTGTCCACAATTACAGAGGACTTGATGAAAAGTCCAGTAAAATTAACAGAAAAGGTCCCGCATTGACTGGATGGGAGTTAGGATTATTCTGAGGCAAAGACAGGTAGTAACAAAGTCCCAAACGCTTACTACCCTATTCCAGGCACCAGCATAACCACTCCATTAAGTACCCATTATCCAACAGTCTACTTAATGGTCTTATGGCAACAGTTTAAGTGGGTCCCACTGTACGGGAAGACTTTTAAAGTTAGCCTATTGCTGTTCTCTGTAGTTTTAGTGTAAAGGATAATAAGCCCAGGAGGACAAGAAAGAAGGTACACTGATCTTTAGATTTCCACAGAGATCAGTTTGAGCTGAAAAGAAAACCACCGAAGTCTCTACAGTTCTGTTTTCAGTCGTTCTGAAGTAATCTCGTTGTAGTTGTTCTTCCTTTTCACTTTGTAAGTCAAGGCTTGGGAATACTCAGACAGCAGATGCTCCCAGTAGCAAGAGATATCCTCTATCTGCAAGTGCTCAGTGATGAACTGGCGTCCCCTAGAGACACACAAGACACAGTCAGAACCAACTTCCAGTTCCTACAAGAGTCCATGGTTTTGTTTTATATGTATATCAACTTTCACTCTTCTGTTTTTCGATGCAAAACAGCATGCATTGCTCTGTACTATCTATTTTAATTTCGCAATTTTCATTTACCCTCATTGCTCTGACACTTGCAATGCTTTTGTTATCCTCAAGATGGTATTTGCTATCTGAAGTAATATTCATTATCCCAGATACACCCTGAGCAACAGTGGGTCATGCTGCTTCAAAAGCTAGTCACTGCCAGCCTGGATATATAATGTTCATAATGCAGACACGGTTCCCAGGGGTCGACTCTTTTCATACCGAGACCAAAGCTGCTAACTTCTCATAGTGTGCAGTGCGATTCCTGACATGGATCACATCCGAACTGAAGACCTGAATATATAATCTTGTTTTCCTCTTCCCCCTATTACGAGTTCTCCAATCCCCCTGCTGTTACTGCAGAAGATAAATATACTCTACCCTATTAGCACGAGGCTGTCTTTGATAGGTGTTTCAGAAGAAGAGTGCCTGACAGCCAGAGAGGAAATACAACTTACCTCTCCGAAATTTCTTGTGCTATGGCATCATTTTCCTTTACAAACTGCAATAGCTCCCTAAAATGAAGACAAAAAATTGCTAAGAAACATCTAGCTCAACAGAGAGCATTAGACCTTGGCTAGACTACTGCACAGGATGAGACAGACTAAGGATTTACAACCAAGTGAAGGATTGGTCCTCCTCATTTCAGAGCACAGAAGAAACTTGCCATTCCCAGTTATTCCATAACAGCCCTAGAGAGCAAGCTGAACTCGGCGAGCTGACACATTTCGCCCAGCGACATATTCCTCTTCCCTTCACCTGTGCTTCATACATATTAAAGTACCTAGTACCTGCTGATTTCAGTGGAGGTGGAAGACCTACATACCACAGTGAAACTCAGACTCTCTAAGTAATACGAACATAGGATTCTTTGAGGGTAGTTATAAAGAGAAAAGAACATGACCTCCAGGTGCTTTTGCCTGCTTCTTTGGAGTGGAGGCACTTCTTAGCGTAATACAAACCAAACCACCTTTCCAAACATAGCAGTGTTTTTCTATTGCATGCAGTGCTCTGCGGAGCACACTGTAGGTCTTGCACCTGACATCAGAGAGGTCTGATTTGACTGGGATGTAGTGGACCCAAGGCTTCAGCTGGGGGTAGAAGAACTCCAACCACTCTTCTCCAACGTGAAACACAAGTGAACCACACAAGAAAAGATGTTTGAACCGGAAGCTGGCAGCCACTCCCCGGAAATTAAACAGGTACCTTTAAAAAGATAAGCAAAGAGAGGGACCTAGTTACACCTGGCACTTTACAAGGAAATACTACCTGCCCTACTAAGACATTGGCCTCTGAGTAGGAGGTCAACCTTCTCTCACAGATAACAGACAGGAGGGTTTCTCTCACACTGAGTTAAGCACCTGTCACTAGAGGAAAGGGAAGACGTTTTTTGAAGCTACTCATAGTAAAGGAAAGCTGAAGTTAAGGATGTACTGGCTGAGTTTCTGATGCCTGTCAGGATTGAGGGAGAAAGTCTAGGGCTGAAGCTTTCGCTCTGATACAGACATCCACCTGTGACAAACCAAAGACGACCTCACAGACCACAGCTAAAATGGCATGGAGGGTCACAACTTTGACACTGTTCCTGTGGTTCAATGCAACTCCCAACATTCTGTTCCCACAAGGAGCTCTTTTCCCACACCTCTTGCAATGGACTTTCTTATTCATTGTTCTGCTTTGCCATATCTATCCCAGCCTTCTTTTTTTCCTGGGGTCCTGCTTTAATCTGAATGGAAACAATATTAACTTGGGAAGGCAAACCTAGGAGATGAAACAGGCTAGCACTGAAGAGATGATTTTGCCGATAAGAGAGAATCAACAACCCTGTTTTCAGTATTTTCTGTCAAATTAGTAAAATGGACTTAGATTTGGGAGAGGGGGGATTTTTGTTAGCAAGCTGTATATCAAAGACATGTTTGTGTATGTTTGTTTGCTTCTGAAATCCATGTTTCTCCAATAATACGTAAAGCTGTTTTTCCTGTGGGTAAACCCCTCAATATATGTAACTGATCTTTGAAGTCAAACATTTTGGGCTGGGGGAAGGGAGCTCTTCCTTTAACATAGCTATTCTGGGTGCAATGGGATTATAACTAAACTCAGCCCAGCACTAAGTGGAAGGAAGTAGATCTACAATTATTGCGGATTCTTTGTATTACTGTAGTAGTACCTAGGAGCTCAAGGCAGGGATGAGGAGCCCATTGTGTTAGAAGCTGCATGAACACACACAGAAACGTGACAAGAACAGTGGTCTGGAAGTGAAGAAATGCCTCCATCCAATTTCAGACATTGCTCCCATCATCTATGACCTCAGCCAAGTCTGAGGGCTGCTCTCAGACAGTCTAGTAGGGCACGTACATTGAAGGAGGCAGTGAGAAATTCAAGTCAAACCTACCAGACTTTGGCTCTCACAACCCATGGACAGATGGAAGCATGACTTCTAAGTTAGAGAGCTGCTGTAGGTAGGCTTATTACAGCCTCTCCATACCTGTGTTTTTCCACCCGCAGTCCAATAATGCAGGACCATTGTAGGCACTAATCGTTCAGGACAGACTCCACGCTGCTGGCAAAGACTACTGATGACTGTTATCAAATTGAGCTATGACAAAAGTGTGTGAAGATATCTCTCACAGCCTGTTCTGTACAAAGGGGCTTGGAGGCATCAGGAGTTTGGGAAATCTACGTGTACCAGAAGGGAGAAGTCTGGGGAACAGTCTAGTAGAATGTAAAATGAGAAAAAGTAATCACATTTGCACAAAAACACAGATCCAGCCAGACAACTGAGTTCTTGTATCAGCAGATTTTAGCTTGTAGAATCATCACTAAATCATTATAAAGCAAAAGAAAAATTTAAACGTCAGACATATAAGTGCATACAAACTAATACTCTATATTTTTACAAAGAAAACCACAAAAATATTAAACCAAAAAAAGATGAAAAAATAACTCTTTGGAAATCAAACCCACATTTTCACAGAGAACATATGAAGCATGAATGAATACTGTATCTGCCCAATCATATTTCAGGTTCTCTCTTTCATTATAAACATCCAATGGCAACACTTGCCTGCACATGCATATCAAGGCATGATTCCTTAGTTCCTTATGGCTTTGAAGATACTAATGCTATGACTGCAGCACCAAAAAAATAACTTTGAACTCACAAATTTGGTACAGGAATTTAAAGAAAAATTGATTTAAGACTTTTTGATTTAAAAAAAATCTATTAAAAATGCATTTTCAATCTATATTTTTGTTTATTAGTGATCTAAGATCTTTATTCTCCCCAAACCACTTTGCTTCTCCAGACCTGATGGAGAAAGCTGATACTGAAAGTGGCCAAGCTAAGCTCCCTGATTTTCAACTGGCTCCATGTCTGTTCACATGCTTTCCTATCTGCATGGAATTTGTTGCAGAAACTGGATCTTAGGGAGGGAAAAAAAAAAAAAAAAAAAGAGAGATAGACAAAAGACCATGCAAGCAAAGTAATAATATATAGCCCTTGAACAGCTTTACTGATCAAAGCTCTTACTTGTATTTGCAGTGATCAACCAGTGGAATTTCCTTTGCAGGAGGTTTCCCTAGGGTATCCTTAAAACAAAGGGAATTAAAAAAACATTTTACATGGTGATTTTATATTCATTTTCCTTCTCAGGTAACTAGAAATAAAGCTGAAATCTCAAAACCTTCCATCTCCGCTTATGAGAAAGCCTTCTCTGGTGGGCTTTTAGAAGTGTTCTAAAGAATTCCCAGTCCTTCAACTGGGGAAAAAAAAAGTTCAGTTAACTTACACACTGCCTGTAAGCGAACAACAGAGTAACGATAACATTAAATTGGCAGCTACAGAGCTGAAAACAGCTTAGGACAATGGACTGTCTGAAGCCAAACGTAACTGGATTAGCCAAGACTGTCTGGAGAGAGCTGGACTGTGGGGTAACTATAAAACTAAAAACTTAACAAGCAATAGTTATCAGAAAGTTATCAGCAACAAGATAAAAAGATGAGAGAAAAAGGTTTAAAAAGACAGAGCAACACACAGGCAGTCTGGGGCTGGAAGGGGAAAGCTAAGCTAATTTTGTAGCAATGGAGGCAGAAGGGATGGGCACAGGGAAAGGGTTGAACAGCAGCAGGCTTACAACTCAAAGAGTGGAGGGAGACCCCAAAACTGAAGGGCAGAGCCTGGAATCTTACTAACAGGTTTTAAACACTTCAGGATCTAGTAAGCAGTTCACTCAGCGGGATCCTAGTGCATGGCCTTAGTCTCTTCCTTAGTCTCTTCCTTCACCGCTACAGAGAGAGCTGCGCTCTAACGGTTCTTTTTTTTTTAAAAAAAAAAAAAAAAAAGTGTTCTGCCTTTCTTCAGCAAAACTTGTAGGTGGAAAAAATAGCTGGCCCACCAGACTCTAGAGGCTCCTTCCTTTCATCCACCAGAGAGGTGTGGCCATCAGTAGAAGTACAAGCTTCCCCCACTCTAGAGGAACGTCCACAACTCTCCAACAGGACGCATCTCAACCATCAAAGCCATCTTGCAAAGTCCTTTGTGGCCTGCACCCCCAAAAGACATAAAACATAAATACCTTTTCAGATTTCCAGGCCTGGTTTTTAGTGTACTCAGCATCAACGAGTTCTGGGTTTTCTCGGGACAGCAGAATGAGGGGATCTCTCTCAGGACTCGTTCTGCAAAAGAAATGCCATCACTCCTTCTCAGTCCATCTGACCCAACACAGCTGACAAACTACAGGACTCAAGACCCCTACCTCTTCATGAGGCTGCCCTTTTTATGTCCCCAGAAAACACTTTTTAAGTGCCTATCCTACAGTATACTTCTATCCACAGGTGGATTAACAGAAAAGAAAGGGTTACGTGTACTGGAAGGATTTGAGGCCTTGTTTCTTTCTTTCACTTACGGTAAAAGCCTAAATACGTAATAGCATTATTTTAAGCAATTCCCAGGACAAATGAGCAGACATGTTTTTCCTTCAGGCTTGATATCGATAGGTACTGAATAGTTCAACTCCCCTTCCCAAATCAGGGGAGTTAAGAGATGCTAAGCATCTTTGGTGCTGATCCCTCTGACACATTAATTTAAAAGACTACTGATAAACAAGGTTATGAGTTCCCTGAGACTTACTCCTTGTGATCTCCCGAGCCTACCTATTAATAGTCAGATATCAAGTCTACCCCTAAAACCCAACTGTATTGGAGGAATGAAGACAAGTAGGGGTTAACACCATTTTCAAATTGTCACTGCAGAGAGGGAGAAAACCTACTCCTCTCTTACCCCCAACTCTCAGGTAACTAAAGCAAGAACACTTGGTGATTCACTGAAGAGTACTTTCGCAGAGAATGAAGAATTCACATTGTCAAGAAGCCAGTACAGCAATACCAAATCTTCACATTTGTAGCATGCACCTGCAGTTCCCACCACAGAAGAAAAGAAGCTGGTTCCTAGGCAGACAGTTTTACTCATTAAGAAATAAAGCAGCAAATTCATCACAACTTCTGTTTCCAGTATTCAACTTATTGTAATAAATTAGTTGCAAATAGCGGCTCTTAAGGAGATTCACTAACGGTGAAATGCTGCTAAACAAAATGTCTCACTTATTTTTAAAAAAATCTATTCTGAGTAACACTCGTTTAGGTCTTGGAGATACAGAAATCTGCACATACAGATAGCTGACATGGCATATACTGGCAGAATCTCCTGCTGTAGGAAAATATGCTCACCTGGATCCTCGGAAATATCCTTTGGAGATTTTTTTCATCCATGGCCATTTTTCTGCAGATCTGAAAATATTTTTTATATATGGCAAAAAATGATTTAATAAAACCATGAAACAGTGCTCTCATCAATTTTCACAGCTTGATCTCATTTTATTATTCTTCATTATTGATGGCAATCACTTTCTTCATTATAGCAGGGAAAAACTCTCAGCCAGGTCCAATGAAACAGGTTTTCCTGTGAATAGTTGTGTTCAAGGCAACATGATATAGGCTACTTTTCAGAGCCACCGTCAAAAGAATAAATTACTCACAAAAACCCTTATCAAACCTTCTTTAAGCATATTAACATTTTCCAAAAATTTGAATATACTTTTTACATTGCTGCTTTACTTTTCTTCGTTTCACTGAATATGGATAGTACAAAACGACTACAGAGTTTCTAACCATTGTCATACCCCTCTTTTTCCAAACAAAATGTTGTTTTGTGTTTAAAACACACGGGCTCATTGTTTCCCCAAATAAATTTTCCTTTAAATTTAAGTAAGTCCTTCAAAATAGCTCTGATATGCTTTGTTTTTTATAATGTGGTCACGTTCCTGCCTCTCAGGAACTCACCATTATTCTTTTTTTTTTTTTTTTGTTGTTGCACCTGGCCAGATATGTAGGTCCTGATCCTCAACCTGACTTGTGCAGGTTGATCTTTGCATCTGCATGTAAGCCAGCGATGTCAGTAAGCTCCACTGGAATGCCAGGATAAGTAAATGCTTTGGACCTTAACTACATTATATCACATTGGCGTTCAGCTATGATTAGTCCCATAAATCTTCAGATTTTGAAGAGGGACGTATAGCCCAACATTCTGATGTCAACTCATCTATACATCAAGATTTTTTTCTTGTTGTGTTTCTATTTTCACTTGCTGTTACATCCTTCATATGTCCCTTTCCAGGAGAAATAACTCCTTATTCTGCTAACAGTCAAAGATCTTGCCAAAAGATAGACTTCCTGTCAGAAACATCTGTCTTACTAGCCCATCTCAGCCCAGTAATGACTCTTGCTCCCTGGGAATGATTCCAGGTTTCTCTGTTGCACAACAGCAGCCCTCAAGTGAAGGTAGATCTGAGGAAGACTTTTCCTTCACCCTTCCAGAGGCTTATACAAACATCCTGGATCATCCCTGCACTGAGAAAAACATGGATCCTATAGAAGTAGCTGGAAACAAAGGAAAACATTCCCACGTGTCAGGGGAGATTTCTGCAGGCTGGAGATAACAACTACTGCTTTATTGACCAACCCTATTCTACTGAAAATGATAATCCGGCTGCGACAGCATTCCTTGCTAAAGGGTTGGAAACAGAGAAGCTAATTATAACTTCTAGCTACACCATTCAAGGTTTCCATGGAGAATTCTTATTTACGACAGCCAGCAGCTCCGACCCCAGGCCAACAGACCTGTGGTCTTCGACTTCAGCGTCGCCCTAAAGCTGCCCCAGTGCTGGAAGGCTTTTACCAAGATATATTTACTGTTATGTCTCCCCCCGCACATCTTCCTTCCAAATACATACCTTCTGAGGTCCTCTCTCATGAGGTCCCAGCGCCCTAAACCTGTTGGGTAAATTGGCCAAACAGCTGGTCCTCCTTCCCAAAACGTCCAGGCAGGATACATGATATCATTGTACTCAGGTGTCTTAAGAAAAAGGAGACTGTAGTTAAGAGCAATCTAAGAGTATGAGTAATATTTACCTCAGTTTTCTGACCCAGTCTGTCAGTAAAGGAGGTCCCTTTCAGGAATTCTCTCTGTTTTCTCCATTACTGTTCCAAAAGCAATCACTGGAGCTCCGCAGTCACTCCTGTTTTGCTGGGGATCATATGAAGATAACCCCAATAGAGAAAAGCAAGTGTTATTTCAGCATGTATATCTGATAATTAGTCCTGCTCTGAGTAGGGCATTGGACCAAATGACCCCCTGAGGTCCCTTCCAACCTAAACATTTCTATGAAGCTAAAAAGGCTGCAGCTTGCTGCAAGACAATATGTGGTTGTCATGCCTTCAAATGCTAAACCAGCCATCCAAAGAGTAGTTGTTCTCTTGCTTATTTTCAACAACTATGAAATTTTTCTTTGGGATAAATAATTCAGTTTGGTATCAGGCCAAGTTGTTATCAGTGAGAGAAGAGTCACATTTTGGCTTCAGTTTTTTCGATTTTCAACATTGTGCCTTCCTGTCAGCAAGTTAGCAGTGCTGCTCTTCTACTGCTGGGAAGGCATTTGCTCACAGAGTTCAGCTGTGTGCACGTGCACACATTATACTTGATTTTTCATACCACAACCGTCTGCAGAATCAATAGATCTGCATTGTACCTCATTCAGGGACTAGTGCCAGATGTGTGGATGGGAAATAACAAAAAAGATCCATAATACACCTGATTAGTAAATATCAGAAGATGCTGAGCTCCACTCACCTTTCTAAAAACCTGTGCCTATGTATAGCTACAAACGTTTTCTACGGATCATAGGTTAAGAGGCATTATCATCTCCTCAGTGATAAAGCCACTTCTAGACACCTTGACATTTAGGTTTCCAGTACTTCAGTTCATTTCACACTTCCCAGAGATCATTTAAGAATATACCATGACGAAGACGCAACATGTAAGAATTTCAGTTCCTCACTCCTATGTGAATGCTTAAATTCCTGTTTATTCAGTGGGAAGATCAGCACTTACATAAGACCAAAACCTTTCATGAAATCAGACTATAGGCCACTTCACTGCACTACTAATAAACTTTCTGCCCAAATTACTCATTTAATATCTGTCATCTGGAGATACTGGAGAGAATCCCGTGGAGGCCCACCAAGGTAGTTAGGAGGCTTGGGCACGTGACACATGAAGAGAGGCTGTATGAGACCGAGAGAACCAGGTTTGTTCACCCACAAGAACAGAAGGCTTGAGGTGATCTAATTGCTATCTTCTACGGTGTCTAGAAGAACACCCTATCTTACTGGGTTCAGAAAAGATACAGGCAGACTCTTTTCAGAAGCGCACTGAGACAGAATGAGAGGCAAGAGACATTGATTATGATGCAGGTAATCGCAATTAGGTATTAGGAAACACGTTTGCACTGTGAAGGAGCAGGTGCCCAGGAAAGCTGTGGATCCCCTGTCCTCAGGGATGTGCAGAACTGGGCAGGATGAGGTCCTGAGTGCCTTGAGCCAATTCGCCCTGCTCCGAGTAGGGCACTGGACCAGACAACCTCCTGAGGTCCCTTCCAACCTAAATAAGTCTGTGCTTCTATGATCTTCTCCTTCTCGGTCACATTGTATCACCACTGATATCAAACCACAATTACTCCAGACATCAGCTTAGCTCTGTGGGCCTTCCAGGATGCAGAATAAGCCGACTCTTCAATCCCTTATACCTTCAGCATCAAACCTAAGCTGGACCCCTCCTCGTTCTGATAGGGGCTAACGCTGGCTGTCTACATGTGAGCTGGGCCTAAATCACTGCATTACGGTTAAGGCTAGGGCTGAGGTGACAGTTCACATGTTGTACAAAAATGACTGGAGAACTTTGCGTCTTGCTGGGTCTTGCAAGCCACCCAGGGCAGGATGATGAATATGGCTGCAAAGATTAAGCTAATGCAACATATTCTGCAGCTACTTGGGTCCTGCCAGCTAGAATTAAGGTTATGCTAGGGTCAAGGGGTGACACAGTTAGCTTTACTACTGCATCTTGCAGCGACCACAGTTCTTGAATGACAGTGCTTGCAAAGCTGTGTCAGAATTTTGGGAGATAGTTTTAGGATGACTGGGGACTACTAGACAGTGGTTATGAATCATATGAGGGTTTGGACTGCATGAGCTAAAGACCTGGGTTTAGGGTAGAATACTCAAAAATTCGCAGAAATAGATTAGGGTCTCTGAGCTAGCAAGAACAAATGGTTTATCGCTTCATTCTGCACCTGTTACAGTCTGCTGGGTTTCAGTCAAGGACAGGGTCAGGATCAGGGTTAGACAGACAGAATGCAGGATTTGGGCATGTTGGGCATACACTGAACCAGATCAAGATTTGCTGAAGCGTGAGGTCTAAGGATATTTTGGTGGAAAGGATGAGAGGCTATGATTTGCTACACTCAAGTTTAACAACAGGAGAGGCAGAAAAACAGACAGTAGAGTTCTCCAGTCTGGGAATGGAAAGGCAGAGGGGGGTGTGTGTGGTGTGTGTGGGTGCGTGTGTGCGTGTACACGCATGTGTGGAGATGGAGAAAAGAATCCAGGGCAAAAGGGTTAACAGAAGACAGAAACATTACAGAAAAGATGAAAAATATTTATCTGTGGTAGCAACAAAGATGACTAAAACTTACATATTAACTCAGACTAGCTGTATGACAGCTGACAGATGATCACAAATCCTTTAACAACGCTGTTAAAACACAGCTACAATTTTAACAGAGGCACTGTAGCAAATCACAGTGATGCTGGCACCTATTTCATCCAGCTGTGCAGCACTCCACTGAGGCAGAGGTGCATTTTTGACCTGGAAAAGGAGCTAATGAGGAGGAAAAAAAAATATTCTATTGAATAAACTCTGAGTCTCTGTGCCAGAGAACTGGAAGTGGGAAGGAACATAAAAAGCAAAAAAGAACAACCAGTTTTGACACAAAGGAGATCTTTGGAGGACCATCTTCAAAAATATGTTCCAAAGAAAAAAGAAGAGGCACGTCTCGGAAATGCCCCGCATGTGAACCCCTCACCTTACTGAAGGAGAAGACTGGGATAATGGGCTTCATCCACTTGGGGACCTGGGGGTAGTCTCTCACATTGATCACCATCTCCATGTCTGGGAGGCGGCTGATGATCCCCAGAAGAAAATGCTCAACTCCACTGCATCTGTGGAAAAATGACACGTGGCAAAGAGCAGTAAGAAGAAGGCAGACTCCTGGAGTCTCTTGAAGGCTTTTGCTCTCTATGTGGAAGCAGGAGAGATGGTGAACCTGAGCCATGCAATAATTCAGGCTGGAAACTGCCTACAGCAGCCTCTGAGCCCCAACACAGCACAGATGCCAATGAAGCAACCCATCCTGTTATACCAGCCCTGATCCACAGCTGTCTCTGGGATCCCACAATTATCTAACCTTTTCTACAGTGAGGTACAATACTGAGTTTTACTTCTTGCCTACGTTTCAACCTCACGCACAATTTTCTAGGCTTCTGCCCCAATAAGGAATTCAGAACTCTGAAATATCATCATGCTCAGTGACTTTTAACTTGGCAGGCTTGGGAGTACTCTTGTGTCCTGGCTATGGAGACAGGATATTCTGCATGACTCTCACCTTGCAGGGAACATGCAGTCATGCTCACGATACAACTTGTTCTTAATGATTTGGTAGTGTGTTCCAAGCTTCCGGCTCACCACATTTGATATTATCTCCTTGGAAATGCCACCTTGAAAAGGAGCCAGGTCCTGCTTCCAGACGCTGAAACAGAGCAAATGTCAGCCACCATTAGGCACAGTAGGGAAGATGCTGCCTGTAAATTACTGCAGGAGAGGCTTCTAGCTAAAGTAAGCTCAGTGTAGCTTCCAGGAGCTCTGCTACATGCGGCATAATAGAGGATTTGATTTAACTCACCCAAAACAGCTGTTACTCAGAGACACAAAGGTCCTAGCTTTGCTCTCTGATGATCTATGCGCCATTTGCCTGAACAGAAAGCCCAATACAGGACTCTGAAGCTAAATTAACACAGACACTCCAGTTACTGCCCCAGAAGTACACACCCTGGCATGTTATGAGTAAAAGTCTTCAGCTCACAA